ACGTCGCGGTCGTGTGTGTATATTCCACGCGGTCCAGCTCTGGCAACGGCATCCCGAAATGTATAGCAGCCAAACACTCTAAACGGGTGTTGCTAAATGTGGAGGGGTACAACTAGAGGAAAATCCACGCGACCACGGGGAAAGAGAGACGTGAAAACTCCAAATATACAGCAGCAGGCGTCAGGGTCGGATTCGAACACCGCAACCTCCTGCATACCAGGCGAGGTAGTTAACATCTCGTCGCAGCGGCTCCCACACTATTCCACCACCACAATAGCCAAACTGCGATGGAGCCAACCTATTTATACTTCTGAGTGGATAGAGGCGTGGGTGGGTTTAAGAAAGCTGCTGCCCTGTAATGATATAGTAATGACACAGTGCTGGATACAGAAATTAAAACGACGTGACAGGCCAACCTGGGTGTGGGTAGAATATAACAACGTCACAGCATTGCAGCAACGGTGAATAGACCGAAAGTATGAAATACCGTGTCGAGACGTGCCTGTGTAAGATAAAACACGAGTGCGAGATTGTGCAAATCAGGAACAAGAAGGAAAATAACAATTACGTGGGAACCGAATGTTCAAAGTTAAATGTCACGTGACCAGAACTATTAAAAGGACATGAAGATCAGAATATGAACGTGAATGATGCTTCCACATGCTGAATAAATCAACCCCCTAGGTGCAAATATGTAGCATGCATAATTCTTAACCTATTATTTTCATCACGCTCCCACAAAGAAGTTGTAATGGCTTGGACGGCTTTGTGTTCCTGAGCAATGCTGAACACGGTTCAAGACGGCCACTTGCATTGCGACCTTTCAGATGCGCTTCTGTCGTCGTCTGGGACGATCTTCCTTTCTGATATTAGGAAGCCACTGGAGGCTATGCACTTTAAAAAAGAGAAAGTTTGAAAACGAATTTCTTTAAAACTGAATTGTTTGTGTGTGTTTAGTTTGTTGTCCTTCCCCCGCACCTCCCACGAGCACGGTTGGCTACGTACGGTGCGAAAGAAGTTCGACGTACGGCTTACGCACAATCATATCTCCAGAGCCGCACCCGTCAATGTGCTCGAATCGAACACTGCCACTCAACAAAGACGCGCTGCTCATTTCCGACCGCATCAGCGACGGCGAGGTGAGTAGCGCCCTCTCGCGGCACAGGCCACACCAGACACACACATGAGTGTGCGTACAGGGGGTGGGGTGGTGGGGTGGGCTGGGGGAGGGGTGCGGGGGGAAGGGAGGGGTGGGGCGGGGGGAGGGGAGAGGTGGAGCGGGGGGAGGTAGAGCGGGGGGAGGGATGGGGTGGAGCGAGGGGAGGGTGGGGAGGAGCGGGGGGAGGGCGAGGGGAGGGGTGGAGCGGGGGGAGGAGCAGGGGGAGGGCGAGGGGAGGGGTGGTGCGGGGGGAGGGATGGAGCGGGGGGAGGAGGAGGGGGTTGAGCGGGAGGGGTGGGGTGGGGGTGGAGCGGGGGGAGGGATGGGGTGGGGTAGAGGGAGGGCTGGGGTGGAGCGAGGGGAGGGTGGGGAGGAGCGGGGGGAGGGCGAGGGGAGGGGTGGGGTGGAGCGGGGGGAGGAGCAGGGGGAGGGGTGGTGCGGGGGGAGGGATGGAGCGGGGGGAGGAGGAGGGGGTTGAGCGGGAGGGGTGGAGCGGGGGGAGGGGTGGAGCGGGGTGGAGGTGTCTCACGTGTGATACAAAATCCCAGGGGATTTTGTTCCGTCCGGGTCACGAGTTGACGGCTTCGGTTAAAATTCGGAATTAAATGTAAGAGGAGTCGGTGGAGTGACGCTCGGAGCTCGCGCACGAGGGCGTTGCACCGTGCAAGTGCCCGCGGTTCGCTGCGATGTTTGGCAGAAGGAAAGAAGCGACGGCGCGGAGTGACGGCGTGACGGCATCGGCCGTGTCGAGGCGCGATTCGCCGATTGAACTTTGCCGACTTCTGCGTTGCCCATTACGGGCTGCCTGATCCCGAGCCCTCCCACCGCACAGAAGTCAGGTCACAAGACTCCCAAGTCTCTCTCCATCTCTCTCGATGTGCAGGAGAGCCTCAGCACCTTCGGATCCCCACTATTCCAGGACTCATCTTGAGACGTCTCCGTTGGTCACACGTGGCCCCGCAGATGCTCACTCGCGCAACCCACCTGGGCAGGCTCTGAATGGAGCGGAGCTGCAAGGATATCTGTGTCCACGAGTGGGAGACACCACACGGGCACGACTAATACATTGCAGGTAGAGCCGTACTCTCAATACACTGGGCGTGAACTACCCTGTAGAATCTTCTTGGTTCTTTCGGTAAAGTCACATGACTTTACCGAAATAACCAAGAAGATGAATCCGTGCAGTCACGAAAGCTTTAAATCGAAATTTACCCTGTAGTAGTAATAATTGCACGTTCACACTTTCATTTATGTTCCCGTAAATTTGATCAGGTTTGATTTAATTTTCGATTTAAAGCTTTCGTGACTGCAGGGATTCATCTTCTTGGTTCTTTCGGTAAAGTCACGTAGAATTCTACGTGACTTTACCGAAAGAACCAAGACAGGTTCGATTTGATTTAAAAAAAACTGAGTTCTGAGTTGTGCATTGTTAGATTCTAAATGCAATTTGCATTATACACATTTTTTAATGTTTAATTTCAATGAAAACTGATAATGCATGCAAGGAAATGTACCTTTGAAGGATGCTCAATATTGGACAGTATTAGCTTGTTATCCTTATTTTTTCAGCTTATACATTTAAATATTCACATTCAGCTAAACTGGCGCGCTGTTTATCCGAGTTTCCCAACAAAATGGTAAAGTAGTTAAAATGTTTTCCTACGACCAAATTCAACCATTCACGCGTAGTACGACAGAAAAAGTAACAACTGTCAAGTTAAGAGTTCACACTCTGCCCAAGGCGAACTAAACCCACAGTTACTAGACTGTGGACGTGTGGACAGATGACGGCGATGAGCAATGCTCCTTTGACGGGAAAAAACTTTGCAATGCAATGCCACGTAACAGACTTCATTTGAAGCTTTCGTGACTGTAGGATTCCCCATACTCTTTGGTTCTTTCGGTAAAGTCACGTAGGTAGAAATAAAATAAAACAAATCACGTTTCGATCGCAACACAAGCAATCGTCATCAGGTGCGACAACCACAGCAAGAAAGAACTGCTGAAGGCGAGAGAGACTTTACCGAAAGAACCAAAGAGTATGTAACAGACTGTTGGGGCAAGTGCTGTTGGCGGGCACCTGGGGTGGGGGCGAGTTTCCAAATCCATGCCCGGCCACCTTTGTCTCCCTTGTGGCGATGTTTACACACCGCACCAGGTACTCATTTGAGGCCGAGTCGACCTAGAGGAGGCCCGGTTCAGATACTCGCCGGGTTCGTAGCGCAGTGCGCTAACCGCTACACTACCGCTCCCCGCAATGCGGAACGAGTATCTATACACTCACACACGCTCGTTCAAAACACAGCGACGCAATGGAATTACACCAGTGTACTTTTAATGCACACCACGTGACCAACACAACCCTGAAGGCGTATTTCTACTGCAGCGCATTGCATTTAGTTAACATATGCGCGGTTACATTCAAGCGGGTAACAGTGTCATGATTCTTATCCGTCCGCATGTTACAAACAAAACCATTTTAATTGACACGAGTGAATCGACTAAACGCAAAACACGATTTGACACGAAAAAAAAAGGACGGAAAAACAACAACAACGTTGGGCCCCTCAACGAGGAGGTGCCGTTGTGACACGGGAAGAAGTGTCCAACACTTTGAAATGCTGCGTTGCAGACCTTGTGTCGTGCTCCTGTGCAATGTGAAACGTGGAAAGGCATCTCCATGATCTGAATGAAATCTAAGGTAGTACGGTAGTTTACATTTCAACACTGAAAGCCAACAACAAACAACATCTTGACACAGCAAAGCTAACGCTCACTTATAGAACAAAAAAAATTCCCCTAAAGCAAACTCGCCGTAGGAACATCGCTTTCTTACATAACTCCGGTTTTTTGTGTGTGTTGGTAATGTCAAACACCACAAAGCGCACACACACACACTCCAACTGCAGTCACGTTTAACACTCGACATTGCACACATTACTTACTGCTCTTAAAACCTCGCATACACAAATCGCACCCGAGCTGTCCGGAGTTCATCCCACCTATCGTGCCATCGCTCGCAACAGATCGCAAATACTTCGGGGAAAAATAAACGACCGATTCTGAGCGATCCCAGGTAAATGAAATTTAAATTTGGTAATGGCAGGAGAAGCTCCCAGCCCTGTGAGTTGACCTTTGCAGTTACTCATTAACCGGATTAACTGCAATGAGAGTTGTTAGCTGCGATGGCGCGTTGCATTGAATCGATAGCAATTTACTCGCCGTATAATTGTTGTTGAGCCAATTTAGCGTTCCTTGTTTGAAATATTACATACGACACCTAAACATTTCCCACAATTCCAAACCTGCCTAGATGTTGGGACGTTGCAGGTTTTACTGATATCCACTCCCCCCCCCCTCCTCTTCCTAAAACTGTGGAGATTTGTTCAAGGGATTTCATGGTTGTTACGAATTAAATGTTCACCTATAGAGTTTTGCATTAAAGAAAATGGACCACATTCACCACTGGACCCATAAGCGGTGTGTGTGTGTGTCACACATCTGCTGAAGCGTTTGATTGACAGAATGGAAGTTGGCTGAAGTTTTATCACTTTTGTATTTGTTCCATTAATCTTACACTGCAAAACACACACACACACACGAAAAACAGTGCGGGACTTTCATATATATGTTAAATAACAAAAACAGCTTGGAACTCACGTGAATTGTTCCTGCCATGACCATAACATACAATACAGTAACTTATTTTTAACTCCCATACACAAACACCTCAATATGTAACACGTAAATACATTTTGCCATTTCCTGATGGAAATTTGCATGGACGTGTGCACGACACAATCGTGCCCGACAAACCATTGTAACCTGCTGGTTGTTATGAATGTCATACGTGGCCACGGTGACTTGCGAATTTTCCCAGAAACCCCCCGTGAAATGATCTCACTCCCTCTGTAAGAAGAACTGGACCTCTCTGTTAGCACTGGAATGCAACGCAATTTGCATTTATATAGCATCTACACGAATCAATCACCTCTGCTACCCCTATAGTTTGGAACTCCGTCCACCCCCCACCCAGTCCCACGTGCTCTTGACTTCCTGCCCCCATCGGCTCAAGGCCTTGACTCCCCCACGCCCCGCTCGCCTTACTGCCTGCCTCTCCAAGATAATAAAGCCATGGTCTCTGTCGAGTGACCTCAGATGTGGACGCATTTACACCTTATGTAATTCCAAGTATTATTGTAATTGTATTGCAATGTCAAACCACGTATCAAGACGCTCTACAGAACAGAGGGCATGATTAATTAATGATGATAGGGAGGAGTGGCGATTGAACAGTGGCAGGGAGTCGACAGCGAGGATGGCTGTGGTGCATGGAGTTTCAGACAGTAGGGGCAGCAGGGGAGAAAGGGTGACCCCTTCCCAGTGAGCGAAGGATAACTTGGAGGCCTTAACAGAAAGCATTGGTTGCCGGAGCGGAGGGTGCGTGGAGAGGAATGCCGGTTAATGAGAAATGACAATGAAGCAGGGTGTGCGAGGGGCCTTCAACAAATCTGAGAATGGTGCTTTAAAGTAACGCACGTTTCGCTGCCAGTTTTACTCTTTTTAACAACGACCGCACCGTGAGCCTCACGCAATTTAACATCGCTGTTTGTGCTTGGGGCTCAAAAAAACATCCCGACATAAGTTTGCTTGCGACCCGTTTGGTAACAGCTCCTTAACAGATTTTGGTGGACCCTCATATCATGCATGCACCTATATTCACGTGGGTACAGTATGTTTTGTACTAAAGCATGCACACCTGTACATGTGCACGTATGCACGAGCTTGCATGCGTACGCTGCAATGTTTACCTGCTACATCTGTAAGCAATGCACATAATTCTACGGAAGTATTTCGATTTTAGCTCCCACCGATGAACTTTTTTAAAAATTTCATTTTAACTCGCAGAAATGTTACGTCGAAAGCTCACGGTGCACCACAAAAAGTCCCCTTTGAACTCAGTGGCACGGCTCATCCGCTCAATTCGCCTTAAATACACGCGGCATAATACAACGCGGTGGCAGCGGCCAAACAGATGCGAGGTTTGGACCAAATCGGGCGGCGGGCAACCGTTGACGGCGGCGCTGGAGTAAGGGAGCTGGCGGCCGTGGGAAATCAGCTGATGAGGCAGGGGTCGTCGGGGTTGAGCGTCTTGAGTTCGCCTTGCAGGAGCTGATCGAGGACGGCGCGGGTGAGGTAGCTGGCCGTGCTGTGCCTGCCCACCGGCGAGATGTTGTAGAACGCCAGCATGCCGTCGTTCTGACGGGGCGAGCGCGGGCAGGAGGGGAGGACGGGAATGTTTTCAAAGACCGTGGGATCGATTGAAACGCGTAATGCGGCAACCGCATTGTAAACAAATAAAAATCAACAGTCGTTAAACCTGAAAATAATGCGGTCGATGCTCAACGCTACACTGGCAATTTATCAATGAAACGAATTTGCCGTGGTGACATTTGCTGTGAGGTCAAAGACAGAGATCCCTCGTGTAGCCTTCACAGACTGTTGGGGCAAGCGCTGTTAGCGAGCACCTATGAAGGCCGGAACGGCACACGAGGGGGTGTGTGGCCAGCACCACGCCCGGCCACCTTTGTCTCCCGAGTGGCGATGTTTCCGCACTGCACCAGGTACTCATTTTAGGCTGAGCCGAGCTAGGAGAGGCCCAGGGCCGGTTTAGATAATCGTCACTGGTGTTGGCCGTGAGCGGGAATTTAACTCGGGTCGCTGGGTTCGTAGCGCTGCGCAGCGCTCACCACTGCGTAGCGCTCACCACTGCGTAACGCTCACCACTGCGTAGCGCTCACCACTGCGTAGCGCTCACCACTGCGTAGCGCTCACCACTGCGTAACGCTCACCGCTGTGTAACGCTCATCACTGCGTAGCGCTCACCACTGCGTAGCGCTCACCACTGCGTAACGCTCACCACTGCGTAGCGCTCACCACTGCGTAGCGCTCACCACTGCGTAGCGCTCACCACTGCGTAGCGCTCACCACTGCGTAACGCTCACCACTGCGTAACGCTCACCACTGCCTAGCGTTCACCACTGCGTAACGCTCACCACTGCGTAGCGCTCACCACTGCGTAGCGCTCACCACTGCGTAGCGCTCACCGCTGCGTAGCGCTCACCGCTGCGTAGCGCTCACCACTGCGTAGCGCTCACCACTGCGTAGCGCTCACCACTGCGTAGCGCTCACCACTGCGTAGCGCTCACCACTGCGTAACGCTCACCACTGCCTAGCGCTCACAACTGCGTAGCGCTCACCACTGCCTAGCGTTCACCACTGCGTAGCGCTCACCACTGCGTAGCGCTCACCACTGCCTAGCGCTCACCACTGCGTAGCGCTCACCACTGCGTAACGCTCACCACTGTGTAACGCTCACCGCTGCGTAGCGCCCACCACTGCATAGCGCTCACCACTGCGTAACGCTCACCACTGCGTAACGCTCACCACTGCGTAACGCTCACCACTGCATAGCGCTCACCACTGCATAGCGCTCACCACTGCGTAGCGCTCACCACTGCGTAACGCTCACCACTGCGTATCGCGCAGTACGTACCTTCTTCTCCGACAGCCCCTCGCTCTTCTGGTCCTTCTGGAAGTTGGCGACGGCTTCCTTGACGAGCGCGTCGAGGTCGACGGGGTCCTGGAAGTCCAACTCTGGGTTCCTCTCCAGCACCACGGACACCACCATGAGCAGCTGCATGAGGTGGAGGGACAAGTTTAGTTTGGACGGCGTGCAGAAGCAGAACACGAGCGACGAGACGTTATTATACATCAACGTACAAACAAACAAAATGTGCGAATGTGAGAAGACTGTGCATGCAGGCGTTGTCCACGGGTGTCGATCGGAGACGAGTCTTTATGCGCAGCGTGCACATGTTCATGCCTCCACGATGATCTGCCGGTATTCTGGCTCCACAATGTTCTGCAGGATGTCCTCCACCAGCAGAGAGAAGTTCATCTCGTACATAGTCATGTCCGACAGGGTCGGTTGCTGATCAAAGGAAAGGAAACGCATTCGCACAACAACAACAAAAACAATTGTGAGCAATCTGAAGTTTACAATTTTCATTGTGCATCCCGTAGTGCATGTGTGCAAACACAGCAAACACACGTTTATGATATTCTATCTGGGTGTGGTGCAGCAGTAGTTTCGTATATACAACAATTTTGAGGGTTGGTGCACTGCACAGATTAATTACATTTCTAAAGCAACAGGAATGTGATGGGGTCGCTAGGCGATAACGGTACAGTAGTCGGTTTGGTGCCCTGTGTGTGTTTGTGTGTGAACCTTGCTATCTGTTCATGGGAATGTGTTATATAATTGTCCCCACATGAAAACACGTTAATGATGAACTATGCCAAACACGATCATCCTCAATGAGGTTTTTCACAATAAACAAAATGCCATTATAATTACTTGAAAAAGTCGGCACCCAACAATTTAGCCAGTCGTGCTGGCTAAACATGCTGTGCCTCCTACACACATTCCAGACAAATGTACACCATGTGTTTGCCCAAACAAGATTTATACGTAATTATGAATGTAAATTTGTAATTTCCAACAGCTGCGATGAGCCTAGACATCTCAGCCTAACGGCAGAATTTCCCACAACCATACTCTTTGGTTCTTTCAGTAAAGTCACGTAGGTAGAAAATAAATTAAATCACGACGTTTCGGGCGCAACACAAGCGTCCGTCATCAGGTGGGACAACCACAGCAAGAAACAATCTCAACTTTAGCGCAACTACCACCACCACGACCACCTCCTTCTTTTCCCACATCCTCGGTACACCACCCTGCCCCCCCGCCCCGCCTCTCTCACCTGCGGAAGGATCTTCTTCGACACCATGATGCCCCCGGGCGTGCGCTCGAGAACTTGCCACACGCGGTCGTAAAACCCAGGCGGGGTCCTGTTAAGCGACCCGTCCAGGTGGCGTCTGTTCTCCCAAGCCCTGAGTTTGAATGAAAATCCGAGTGAGAATCACGACGGCTCTCGAACCGAGGACTCGTCGATGATGCAAACATTTCAGATCCCTGTGCGTGCATGTGACAAGTGCAGGTGATGTTCATGCAGCCACAACACATTTGGCAATCACGATGATCCAGTCCTGCCTAAACAGCCTACACGTGAACAACTCATGAGTACACGTCTTCTTCTCTTTGTGTTAACAAACGGGTGCGTCGGTGACTTCCATTCACGTAAGATTACAGTGGGCCAAATTGGTTTGTTTTGGTAGGGTGTAACGTCACCAGCGGGGTGAAGCGGTTGGGCATTCGTGCACTACGCTACGAGTCTGGTGACCTGAGTTCTATTCACGACCAGGGTTAACAGCAGTGGCGAGGGATTTCTGAACCGTTCCCTGGAGCTCCCCTTTAGCGATCTGCACTGACCAACATGGCGATGTGTAATTAACACATTCCTGCGGAGGGAGCTGGTAGGAACGTTGGGTTGCTCGGTCAATGGCCAGGGTCAACGGCGGCATGGTGTGAGGGCGGGCACAAGTCGGCGTGAGTAGCTTAAATGTTGAGTTTTATAAGGGCACCACGGGGTGACCAGCCCCTCTATCTAATAAATAAAAAAATATCTAATAAAAAATACTTTGTTTTTCTATCTACGTGACTTTACCGAAAGACCCAAAGAGTATAATTTGTATCATTGCTGTAAAGCGCCTTGATACGAGACACCATATAAATCTATGCAAGATTAATCTTGACCACTGGCCAGTCCCTGCTAACGGAGTGTCCTTCCCCAAGCCCACCGAACTTTTCTCGTGAAAATTTTCGCGGCAACATAAATCATTATAATTTTACACCCACCGACTCAGTGACGCGTGCACCGACCACAAAGCCACTACGGCTGCGAGCAAAGCTCGTGTCATTAAGCCGGTGCCTAATTGAGCCGCGGGCAGCCAGCGAGCGGGCTGGCGGTGGCTTTTATTTAAACGCCGCCGTCGCGGTCCCGCGACCCGTCCAGCCCGCAGCACCTGCTGAGCTGCTGGGGCTGCAGGACGTCGAGCAGCAGTTGCTTGACGGCGCTGGGCGACAGCGTGTACAGGTCCTGCGCCCCGTGCGGCTCGTCCGCTCGCACCTTCAGCTCGTGCTTCATCGCGTGGATCATCCACCTGCGCGGGTGGGGGTCAGGGTGGAGGGGGGGGGTTAAACAGCAGGGGCTGGACGAAGCGTCCAACGCGACGTCACGTGACCCGCGCACCCCGTCGCAGACTTTCAGAGCGTGCTCAGGTGTAATAACACTGGTCAACAAAAATATCATGTTTTTTCTGGCCTGGACTTTTGCAGCTGTTTTAAACTAATTTCAGGGTGCTGATTCCAAATCTGATCTCAGATTTGCTCTATCGCATCTCATTTTTATGCTATCGGCATACCCCATTTTCATTGATTTTACCCAAAATTAACTATGTCACTTATGATTGCAAGTCGTTGCGAGTCAGTGACTGCTTTAGTGTTAAAATATGGTGCTGTATTTTTAGGATAGTGTGTTCATGATATAATTTTATGTAGATATCCACATTTATTTAATATTTTTCTTCTGCAGTCTTGATTGAAAATGCAATATTTGATATCTCAAAAATGTGATAGACAAAATCTGATGCCAGATTTGGAATCAGCACCCCAAAATTACATTAAACCCGTTGGAATACCTTATGCCAGAAAAAGTGTGTTGACCAGTGTTATCTGTAAAAATTGCGAATCAATCTGTCCAAGTTTCTCTATTTTACACGCTTTTATTTAAACTCACTCCGTCTGTTGTTGTAGCCTTAATAAATATTGTAACTCAATTTTTACCCACTTCCCAATGTGCTATCGACGGCAAACTTGTTATACTTATGTCATACTGATGACAAGACTATATTCTATCATTAAAAAATATATTTTAAAAATTTTACACGCTTTTATTTAACTCACTGTCTGTTGTCGTATCCTCAAATATTGTAACTCTATTTCAACCGTCTTCCCAATGTCGTATCGACTGCAAACTTGGTATAGGTATGTCATACTGATGACAATACTATATTCTATCATAAAAAATGTAAAAGATATATTTTGAAACGATCTTTTTTACGGGTCTAATTGTCCACGCTCAACTCACGTTGCCTGTAAATCACCACGGGGTCCCATACGCTGTGGCAAGCTGCGGGGCCACTTCCTGGAGTCGTGGAGTTCTGCCATTACGAGGACGGTACATTTCATTAAAACGTGTTTTAAAAAAAGAATTTTTTTATATTTAATTTGGCAGAATTGAGTCCAAATGCAAGTCGGCTTATATAAGATGGCTTGTATTGGCCTGAAACTAAATGATGATGGGGTTTTCTTGAAACCCCTAAATATCCAGCACATGATGAGTTACCAAGGTTACGATATTTAATATAGAACAATGAAAGCAGAAAGAATGCCACTGTGTGTATCAATTTAGAAAGTGACAGGAGATAGACAGCAAATAGAAACATATGTACCGCGAAAACGCACCCGTGTTAACCAGCACTCATCGTTATACACGTGAAGGCTGCACTCATTTTCCCACAGGAGACTGCTTTGTCAGAATTTACTCTGGAACTAATTTTCTGCCATCGGCGCATAAAATTCCATCTTTACTCATTCACAGGCCGGTCGTGACCACGGTATAGGAGAGTAAGTCATCTTCATAAGGCACCGCGCGGAGGCAGGAGGGAACACACGGTAGTAAAGCACAAACGAGGCAACGTAGCACAATGGCATGCCGGCGATTTGTTGAAAGCGGGAGGTTTATGCTCTCGGAATTTCTCGCGTCGTTACATGCTACTTTGTCTGCGTCGAGGTTTTATTTCTGTTTTGGAAACCGCTGCGGTGCACCTCGGGACGCTCGTCGTTTCTCCCGGCAGCGGCGATTGAACTCGGGACGCCGTGGCGAGAGCTGGACCGCGCGGAATACACACACACACGATGCGACGTCCCGCATGCGAATAACGGTGCAAAAGTGACAACCAGAGGTCGCAATCGGGTACCCGATACCTGTACCCGATACCCGGCTACCCGTACCCGGCCGGGTACGGGTACCCGTTTGCGACCCTGGTGCGGCCGGGTACGGGTAGGCCGTGAGTCACTGGTGAGTAGCCGTTTGTCACTCATTTCCCAACGTCTTGTCTCTTCTCACAATTCAAGTTCCTAGAATCAACCCACCCGCGCCTGCAACATGGCTTCATCCCAGAGGTCGCAATCAGGTACCCGATACCCGTACCCTACCCGTACCCGGCCGGGTACGGGTACCCATCTGCGACCCTGGTGCAGCCGGGTACGGGTAAGGAATCAAAACCCGTTTGCGACCTCTGGTGACAACGCTGTTGAGCTGCCTGTCTGGGAAAAGGAAGAAACTAAACAAAACAACGACGATCACTCGAGCACGAGATGGGAAGCGTGATACCTGCATTGAAATTCAAGGGTTAGTATCACGCACCAGAGATTATCGAGATTATTCTGCTGCTATGAATGTCCACATGATAAGCCACTTCGTTGAGTTATCATTTGTGGCGAGGTCACTTTTTCTGACCTCGCCACAAAAGAAGCTAATAGCTCAGTGGACTTTGCTTGGTAAGATAAAAAAAAAAGTTTAGTTTTATTTGTATATATATTTTATTGATTTGTTTCAACTTTCATATACGTTGCGCTCAAATTATGTGTTTGTATTGTTAGGTTCTGATCCGCTCCGACTGGACATCTGTGCAAAAGAGCTTTATAGCTAATCGGATTCCTCCAGTATAAATAAACATTCCCATTCTCGCACACTCTACTCAAGTCGTCAATGTCTTGTGCACCTTACCTGGGATTAATACCTGGGGACGCACTCACCATGAGCTCAGTCGGTGATTTAATGCATTTAAAGTCAGCCTAATGCGAATAGGCGTGACATCGACACGCCCTGGGGATTTATTGAGAAGGTGACAGAAACAATAAGAGCCAAGGCACCTGCTCGGATTTTAATTGCACATTTAAAAGAAAGATACCAGCACCGTGAACCAGGAACATGATCATTAAGGGTACCCTGATGTCAAGCAAATGCTGAGGTTCCTTTTTGGTAAAATCCATGACATTTATTCATTCATTGCTCGTCATCAGCGAATAATTGCAAAGCGCTCCGCCACCACGTATTGTGATTAAGGATCATGAGATATGTCTGCCAGAGACATTTGCAAACTGTAACTTGTCTATGAACGGCGATAATTTATGAGCACGTCTGCCCGTGCTCATGAGGCATCTGGGTGAAAAGTCTGAGATATGAATTTTCAAATTGGACACTGCAAGAAAACTATACATCCCGAGTCAGGCGAAGCGCCGAGGCAATTATTGACGCAAGAATACAGTGCTAAGGGACATCATTTGCTTTATAAATGAGGCTGCTCCCTCATCAGAGCTAAGAGCTGGAGTCTGCCCGAGAACAACAGCTGACACAGCAGCTCATGGGGCCCCGTGGGTTCATGAAAGGCATTCTTACGACCAACCTCACGGGGAACGCTGCCTAGCGATTTGCATTCACCGCCTCCTCACGAAATGGAGCCTCGTAAAAGCAAACTTTCCGTTAAAGGGACGTGAACGAGCGGCTCCAAATTACGGGACTGTCGCACCATTGGTGGTCAAAGCAAAGCAGCGTTCGTGTCTCATGGCAGTTGGGAAACTGCAGGAGGCTATGAATTAATCTCCAAACGTATATAATGGGCACTAGGATATTCATACATTTATATGTTATACTAGGAAATGGTCGCAACGTTTCATATGAAGCCCACCGCCCCCCAAAAAACAACAACTGGAGTACGCCACTAAGTGGCGGTGATGTCACCATGGCGCTTGTGCCAGGCTAGGTGCACCCTGAGACCAGCCACACGTGACCTGAACTTTTCTTAATTTTACTAAACCATTCTGAACTTTATTTTTTTTTACAAATGACACGAGTCTAAAAATGTGCAACACCCCATGAGATAAGCATCACGACAATACATCAACAATTGCTAAAATCCTGGTTTAGTTCGACCGACTTCAATGGTCAGATTAATTTCATATAAATGTAGATGTATTTCTGCAAATTGCTGTTTATACCCTTCCATGTCAATGTTTGCTACAATGACGTGAAGACATGTGGTTACCCCTGTGAGGGCACCACCAATAGCATTATACAGGGTGCTTCAAAAAAATGTAAACACTTCCGAGAACTTTCAACAACACCACAATAAATGTGCGTCCAGGCTCTGGAGACCACTTGGAGAAGATTCCAGGCACGTGTTGACAATGATGGCTATCAAGTGGAGACTCTTTGACTTTTTGAAGCTATTAACCTACATTTGTTAACATGTTACAGTGTATTCTCCGTTCTTAGTCCATTAAAAACGATAGTCCCATATAAGTGCTAACATTTTTTTTAAGCACCCTGTATTTCACCACAGCTATGCACAGCTATGGATTTCGGGGGGATTCATAGGACATCTTTGAAGGCTCATGTTAAATATCCGTGTTTGGGGTTTAATTGAGTAAACACGAGAGTGGAAAGAGATGTTATTCACGGTCACAATCCAGCAGCTCGCAACCAGGGTTGGTGGCAATCCAGCCGTGCGAGGCTTTAGCACTGCCCCTCTTCTCTGTACACCCATCACAGTTAATCTACTCCTGGGCAATGTCCAGCACTCCGGCGATCCAACTGCAACCACCAATCAAATTTAACGGCGTCCGCGAAAACGTTTCGAAGTGACATCCGCGCGCAAAAAAAGAATAAAAAAATCTGCTGCTTGATTAAACACGGAGCAATTAAGCTCAGAGTAAATATAACGTGAAACCTTCCCCACCGCGGGCATAAATTACACGGCAATTTTGAATCGTCATAAAATATTGAATTTTCGTGTCGCATTAATGTCGCGCCCGTGGAATGGCGGGGGCGGAGTGGGGAGGGCCCATCTCGCCAGGAGGATGGTGAGCCCCGTGGTGCAGGCCATGCCTCTACCTTTTTACCATTAGCGCTCTGACATTTAAGTTGCGCTTATACGGCGCGCGCATTAATATTCTTCCTAACAACGGCACAGCCCCCGTGAGCTACTTTTCTCTTCTGCTTTCTTCATCTGCCTCTCATATGCACGGCAATTGGGAC